ATGTCTTAGGGGATGAATCTCTTATTAAAAAGCAAACGCTCGATCATGCCGTATTTATTTGAAAGTCAATAAATCAAGCCGCTCCAATGCGGTTCGAAGCCATGAGTTTGTTTCCCCGCACGGCACGTCGTAACCTGTATTTCTATTGTAGTGTTTTTTTTTTTTTTTTTATTTGTGCTGTTCGCGCAAAGCTGCAATTGCCGTCGTGAATTAATCTCTGTAGAGCGCATATGCACTCAGCTGGAAGTGGTGCTTCACGGGCTGAGAAATCGCTTTTCGATCAACGTGAATGCAGACAAAGCTGCGACGTGCAGCAGGTGTTAAGTGTACTGAGCTACGCCATGGTGAACCCGAAAACGTCTAGCGCCCATCCTAGCGTGCCACTTGGAGGGCAGTTTCTCCAAAAACCGTAGTATATATTTAAACAGCAAAATAAATGGTAGCTTTTTTTTTCGATTTTGCCTACTATTGTTTTTTTAATGCTAAAATTCCACACTGTAAATATACGTACTGTCCGTCACGATTTCGTACTGTTGTCCTTGCCCCAGAGCACAATCGCTCTCGGGGACGAGACAACCGACAGTCAGATTAGCCACTCTACGATAGGAGCTTATACTGCTCAGACCAGCGTTCCAACATCACTACCCGCACGTTGATCGATTGCACGTAATTTCTCAAGTGGTATTAAACTTTTTAATGTAAAGCGGAATGTCAACCTGCGACACCCCGCCCCCTCCGATCACGGCCCGACCAGCGGCATCAATGCCCGACAGTTTACGATCTCATCTTGTTGTTACACCACTGATACGGGAACACGCGGTCACATCGGCGATAATTCCAGTCTTCTGTTCACAACCCACAACACTGCCATCACTGGCATGCAGCAACATAGCTGCATGCCAGCAATGTTGCTGACATGCACAAATACAGAACCACGTTAAAAGCCGGTTGCACTCGTCATCGGAAAACAGAACCGAACTCAGCACGGAAGGCACCCAGACAGCCGGCAGCAAAACCTGCCTGTCTTGGACGCAGTTCCTGTGGTTTCCATAACGTCGAGAACGTCGACGCAGTTCCGCGTGGTTTCCCTAATGCAGTTCCGTGCCACGTGAGTCCCGCAATCCAGAGACGGCCATCCTACCCAGTGTACGTGGCGCTGCTGGAACTGCTTCGGAACTTCGCTGTTTCTAGCGGTTTCGTTCGCTCGTTTAATAAAATTAGTGATAAAAACGTCAATGCAACCGAAATGTTCTGCACGTTTAGACTAGAAGACGGAATTACAGGCGGCCCTCGCTACCGCTGAAGCTCAATCAACTCTACAGCTATTTATTAAACAACGTGCCCGACCTGCTCGAAAAACGAAACCGAAACAGGTGAGTCGGGAGGGCGAAAGCTTTCTCCCGTCTGCCTTGAGAAGGAGAAAAACGTTTCGTTCCTCCCCTTTTCTCGTGTCCGCTTGGGGGCGCGTCAGTAGAAGGGAGGAAGACGCGCCGTTGCTACTTTTTTCCTCCATTTTTTTTTAGAGTGTACGACGACACCTGTGATTGCCGCGACCCCTTCTGCGTGACTATCGCCCTAAAGGGCATAATCTCCTTGTGTGTTTTAACTGAGAAAAAGATACTCAGGTGACAACCTTTAGCTCGTTCGACCGACGCTTTCAATCTGTCAAGACCTAGGTTTTGAATCATTTCAATAGCCCTGTATCTTTGTAATTGAAACTTTCTTCACCTCCTTAAAATTATTCTCCGAAACAAAATGACAAGGGAGATATCCGAACCTTTTTTCATATCTAAGTGCGTTGAAGGAACGTGTGTCAGCGCTCCATCTATTGCCCTGTTTGGCGCTGAGGTGGCGTTTTTGAAATCTTTCTTAAAGTAGATAGAGAACAGACGAACACTGATTGGGTGATGGCGCATTTTTGAAGTACATGTCGCGATTTCACGGTGTATATATATGTGTGTTTCCTGAGAATAAACTTCAGTTGCAAGTAGCGCTCTGTGTTGTACGTTTCTTTTACTTGTCCGTTGTTTTTAGAGCTTTTAAACTCACAAACTTGCTACGTCCCGAACGCGGGGAATCTTTGTGTTTCTGTATTTGTTTGAGCCAGATATCCGATTACGCATCGCGCTCTCCGTTCACTTCTCTTCGAGCGCTTGCTCGAGTGCAGCGTTTGGAACGAAACATATAACCAGTCGTTCAAAATACAAACGTATTATCATTTACGGCTATTATTCCTTATACCTGACTCATTTCCGAACGAAATTTGAATATTTTGATTATTTTTGTTTGCGTACTCCTTTAAGTACACGTGTCCGTGACTAATCTTTTTATGTCACTTCCGCTTGGTAGTTCTGACTAGTGAGTCACCCGCTCGCTTCGCGCTCGTGAATGCCGCAAAACTGGTCGATCCTTAGCCGCTGATATTTTCTCTTAGTTCGCGGCTACATGGACGCGATACTAACTTTAAAACAGCGCTAGTTAGCCACGACTGGTGAATACGGTTGAGTAGGTCTCCAGCGATCGTTGCGCCATTCTGCATTTCCGGGTCGTCTGCTAGTGAAGAACGGTCGACGGTGCCGCAATACTGTTCACCAGTGAACAAGAGCACTTTTCGCTAGGAATATGCGCAAGAAAAAAGAACTTATCGAAGGTTTCGGAACGATACTAAAAGTGCCTAATATTCACTTCGTGGGAGTTTTGCGAGAGTAAAGGATCGCAAATCCGCACTCGCAAGAAGTTAGCGCAGTTCAAGCGCAGCTCGTATCACGCTCCCTGGAACCGTAAAATCAATATGGCACAGCATTAATCAATCGCAAACTTTCCCGCGGTGACTTCAACGTCCCTCCGAGTCTTTATCGTGCGATAACCAATCAATCACCTTGATTGATTGGTTATCGTCACGCCGCATAAAATCATGCGCGTGCGTACTACAAATTGACCCCCGTAAATGATGACGTCACAACATTGCGCTCCGCTGAAAACAAAACGTTGCTCTGCTGGCTGGAAGCAGAGGTATGTCAGAAGAGTGGCGATGAAAACGACCCGTCTGCTCTTCTTGTCTGCAGACTTCAGTGACCCGCGCGGCGGTGAAGATTTTCATCGCGACACGCACGCGCTGCTTGCAGCGCGTGTGTTGAAAGGTCACGGAGTTACTTTATATTTCGACGCATGTTGCTGTAACTGCATGGACTCCGCACGTTTCACCCGTTAAATGAGCCGTGCGCCTCAATTCCGCGATAATGTTCTACGAAGAAATATTTTGGGACCGCCAGGGGCGGTGCTGTCGACACACGAGTAAAGCGAAGTTTGCTATTTGCACAGCATCAACCGGGGGTCACGTGACACTCCAGTGACGCCACATCTCTACGTCACGCATCTCTACCGGTCAGGGCCACGTGACTTTCTCTTCGCGTTTTTTCGGGTGGTGTTATTTGGGTTCGTCGACTGTCAAGCTTACGAACGGGTAGGCTTGGCTGCCACGAACCGGCGTTCGTGGGTGGTTCACAGTTGGTCGTCTGCGAGCAATGATTTCTATGTCTATTTGCTGGATAGCGATTGACCAGCTCAGCCTATGTACGAGAATGCGGCCACGGTCGGCCATCTTTTTGGTAGAGTGATATTAACTCTAGCCATCATAGTAGTATGGCGGACAGCGCTATTACGGCAGGCTGCCCTAAAATAGCCTTAGATCTACTACACTGTACCGTGGGTGATATTTTGTGGTTAACTGAAGTTGTTCGACGAATCAGATTCTTGAAACCCGGCGTGAAAGGTAGCTTTATTTTTGAGAACCCAGCGAAAGTTCTACGAAAGTGCAGCACCAGGGTAAAGCAGCGCAGCTCGCATCGAAAGCCGAGGCCCTACCGGCGTCTGCTTTCGGGGCTTTTTTTGATGCGACTGTCGATTCGTGCTGTGGTGCTTTTTCCCGGTGCTGGGAGTTTGTGAAACTTTCACCGGGTCCTCGAAGATAAAACTATCGTTCACGCTGTGTTTCAACAATATGTTTCGTCAAACAATTTAAATAAAGAACGAAATATAACCCACGGCTATTTTTGCCACAACGCTGTCTGCCATGGATGGATGATAGTGGCTGCACCAGCTGTACACTGGCTAGAGGTAATATAACTCTACCGAAAAGATGGCCGCTAGTGGCCGCATTCGCGGAGCGGGCAAACGCGATACAGCAAATAGACAAGAGATCAGTGTCCGCGAGAGTCTCTGCCTCCCCGCCTGCTTTCCTTCTCGCCGCGCAAAGACGCAGCGCATGCGCACCTGCGACCGATCTAAGCTCTCGGCGTCCGCCATTCAACAGACCTTTCGCTCAATCCCCCAAGCGCTCCAGCCCGCACTCGAGGAATCGTGTTAACGGTGGTCCTTCAGCTCCATAAAGATCGGTGATTTCGACCAATTCAATGGTTACACAGTTTCGAGTGTAATCCGGAGTCACCTTGATCAAGCATCATGTTGAATACAATTTACTGTCTTGTCACTTTTAAAATTTATCGTACCTGTTAGCGTTTTTGATACTGTGCATCAGATCCACCTTTTAACCTGTCTCTGTGAAAAGCAAAGAGAACGAGTTATGTCTATGCTAGAAACTAGAGGAAACATACCTTGGGAGCGAAGGGAAATATTAGACTTTCGGAAAGAGGGGAATGACAAATAAGTATTTGAAAAAGGAGTAGACCAAACGAAATACAAAGTAACGGACAAAGGCTGTCAGGTTTAACTCCTATCATTGAAGTGCATCAGGTGAGATAAGAAAAAGTAAATGAACTAAATTGTATCTTCGCTCAGATTTAGTAGATGTATTTCAACCTACGAGTAATTGGGGACTCACACCACTGAATAAGATTTACATCAAGGGGCCTCGAACGAAGGCAGTGATATGCGGATCATTTCACATCTACGAAGTGAAAGGCAACTTTTACTATAGGTATGGTACATTGGCAGAATGCCTAGAGTATAATTATTCGTCCTTATGTTCCTATGTGGTTTAGAGATTGAGAGAGCTCCAGGAAATGAATAGAGCCGGGGACGTCCATAAATTTGGATACATCATCCTTGGCGTTGGCCTCTTTGCCCCCAGGACCGGCAAAGCCTACGACTACCTGGAAGAACTTCTTCGGTACGTTCTTAGATTTTAGGTAAAGAAACGACACATGCATTGAAAGGCCTCAAACACAGCTGAAATATTCATTTTCCAAAAAGTGTTTAAATAGGCATCATGACAAAGAGAAAATAAACCAAAGGGAAAGACATTAAACATACTCTATGCAAAGCTTAAAAAACAAATTTAGTGACATATCAATAACACAAAAAAACGTTCAAGAAACCCACCTCCTCTCTTATCCACTAACCTTTGCTAACTGCTCTTTCGTTCCACCTCCGATATTGGTACAACTAAGTTCGGTGTCACAATGCGGACCACAGCACGTGCCCCCTAGCTGCTCAAACTACAATTAACAAACGAACCCTGAAGGTCCTCACCTTTCAAAGCCCAAGAAGCCGTCGTAGTTCAAGGTACAAGCTAAACGAAGGTTTGCTAACAACATTCCCGTGTTTTAGTATTCTTAAGGACTCTTTTTATCAGGGGCTGTAATAATTTTTTTTGTAACTCTACGTAAATAGATCCCCACAATGATACTATATTGTTAAAGTGAGTTAGGTGTTTCTATACTTTGTGTGGTGTTAAGCGCGTATTTATGCAATGTTTGGATTGTTCAACTTAACATAGGCCGTAATCGGAGCCTATCTTCTTTGCGACCGCTGATATACATTCTACGTATTGTTTTTTTTTTAGCATAACCTGTACTTGCTGAAGCGAGGGCATTCATGCGTCTCAGCCTGTAAGCCATGAAAAGGCGGTGCCCATATTAAAGCTGTGGGCTAGCGCATTGTAGTCGAGCTTTTGGTTTCACGTTATAAAATCCCCAGGTGCTGGAAAGGAATCTTCAGTCCACCGCTGGAAAAACCAGATGCCCGTTGTTGGTTTGGCACAAAAAATCCCTAAACTTCACTATGGTGGGAAAGTTTAGGAAATTAGGGAACGATTACTTGTTTAGAAGGTTTATTAATTTTCTGAGTTGCCTTTTTTGAAGATACCTGACAAGACGACTATCTTAAGATATAATCCCCTAAAAATCCTCCATTTCTTAAGACGAGGGTGAGATGAACCTATCGAATGAACACATGACGTTTGTTCTGCTGCAATAATTAGGTTTTTAATTAACCCTATTTTTACATGCTTTGAGAGGCAGCTACCGAAAGGAAGAAGTGGCTTTTCGCGGATTTGCCATACTCTCAACGAAAGAGTGCATCTGTTTTGAGCTGAAGTTCCAGGTAACCTATGTAACCGTCCTTCGGCCTTTCAAGCATATCAATAATTCAGAAGATATCTCAAACACGAACTTCTCTAAAGATTATGTCAGAGACACGTCTGTAGAGCATTCACTAGAGCACTCGAGCACCGCGACGCAACGGCAGTGGTGCAGCCATACTAGTTACAGAGTTCTGCAGATAGGAAGCCGCGGTTTTCTGCAAGGTTTCATTTTTATTTATGACCTCCAGGGAGGGGAGGGGTAGATTGACTTCGCGGTATTTCAGAAAAAGCTAAATTCTTAGCCACTTGAGACCCCGTTGAGTTTTGTAGCTGCCCCCACAAAATCGACGTCCATCAAGACCTGTTTGAATTTCCCATGCGCATTGTTTCAAACGGCTATCGAACGTCCTAAGTAAACCCCCAAAAACCCATGTAATATTCCTTCCGATGTTCCAGTTCTAGCAATACTGCAAACAGTTTGACTTATCGGTTTATGAAGTACCAGCTATTTATCTTAAACCTCACTGTTTTGTGCGCCGTGATCCTAGTGAAATTTGAGTGGTCGCTTCTGTACGAGGCTTTTCCAAAATGCGACATATTTTTTAATGATGACGACTGTAGCGTCCACTCTCAAGAAAAAAAAGTGTAAAAGGGTGTATAGTTACACCCTTTGTCCCATATAATGCACCCCCAAACTTCAATTTGACGTACAGCACCCTACAGTCGAACAAAAGGCCCCACATGTTACGAAGGGCTTGACAGCTTTGTGGTACAACTTATTAAAATAGCGAATGCACGTTTTGCTGACTACAAAAAAAAAAAAATCGGTGTTTTCTTGGTCCTACTGTAAAAACTCGGTGTTTTCTTTCTGTGGTCTTTGATAAGGACTTTAGCTATTTAAAAAGTTATATTGCACTGTAATCAAGCCCCTCGTAAACTTTGGGGTGGTCTGTTCGACTATAGGGCTCTGTACGTCGAAATGAAGTTTTGGGGTGTATTATATGGGACAAAGGGTGTAACCATACACCCTTTTACACCCTTTCTTTTGGGAGTGTGGGTTCATTTCTGCTGGGTGGGACTGGTGGCATCACACAATCGCAAAAACAATATTCCTCCCGGAGGGTTTGATGTTTACTTAGTTAAAATGCGTACTGTTTGTTTAGACAGATGAACGGTGTAAAGGTTGACAATACTCCACATTGGAGATAGTGGAGCTTTTGCGGGAGCATATCTAAAGTTTTAAAGCTGTAAATACCACATCGTAATCCCTGATTTTTAACGCGAATCCATGCGTCAGCATTGGTGAAGAGTTGAAGCTCTCACCAATAAAAACAGTCCAAATTTAGTCACACAAAGAGTTCAGGGTTTGTCACTCACTCTAAAATTAAAAAGAGTGTCAAGTTGCTTTTTTTTTAAAGTGTAACTGGCATGTCCCAGACTCCACCCCTCTTGCTAGAGTAAGTGTTAAACTTCGAAAAAGAGTAACTGGAAGTCAACCGTTCGGAGCGAGTGTTACTCTTGTCTAGATTAGGAATTGTTCTTCGTAAGAAGAGTACCGTTAACGCTTTCAAAGGAATAGCCTTTACTCTTACAGTTCGTGTTTTACGCACGCTGAAAGTGAGCGATGGGAACACTGGGTTAGCCTAAATTAGCGACCCTTGCCAATAGTTAAAGTGACTTTCATATCACGTGTTAATTTCACACTTGAAAAGAATAACCTTCAACTATCTTGTGAGGGTGGCGTAAACTCCTAAAAGTAGGGTTATATGTAACATATATTGACTGCCGTCGCAACTCTACTGAAGTTGAACCGACTACTCTTACGTGGTGTTAAAATCGCTTTCATATAAAGAGTTAATTACAATCTTTTGCAGAATAACTGCAATTACGTTAGTTTCTGTAACATAATAGCATTTTGTATTTTAAGTTTACTGGAAGTTCATCAGTCCTAAAATATTGAAAGCTTATCAGTTTATCAGTCCATGCCCAGAAGAGTGGCATTCATCTCCTGTAGTGTTATGATTCAGAATAAACATTTTCATCATGTGAATGGGAGTCTATGCTTCTGCAGATCATTTAAACATCTTCTACAGGAAAACATTTGTGTCGAAATAGATGAAACGACCTAAATCAACAAAAGAGCGGCAGCGTTCCTTAAAATGGTGCCTGCAAGTGCATACGAAAGCTCACGTTGCTCCTTGTGAAAGGTCAGGGTATGACAAATAGTGGCAGAAGCCATGGTGCTTTTTATATAAATCAATTTTAATTGCAAAGAAAATAATTCTACATATCCGACTTCCTGACCGTATCGAGAGAAGACAGCATGCTTTGAAACTGATGAATGCATTAAATCAACATTGCAAGCGATCTTCCACTTTTGTACAGTAAAAGATGATACCCAGAACAACGCAAGAATGATCACTGCACTGGTCGCTATGTCTGTCACCTAAAATAAGAACTACTCCTACTCCACAGTGGTGATGCTTTCAGAGCCCGAGACCTTTTCTTTGATGCGCGCCACTTGAAAACGTGTTTGGTCAGCATGTATTCGTGTAAACGGCAGAATAAATTTCGTGTACTGGTGTTAGGCACTCTTCTTAACCTGAAAGTCGATAGAATACAAATAGCATTATGCCAGGTCGGACAAACAACAGCTACTCGGTAAATAAACGACTTCATTTGGGGTGAAAGTTAAGGTTCAGTGGTTGCTGTGGCCTCCCAGTGAGATGAGAGAAATAAAAAGAAAGGCTGTCATTCCCTCGTTTACTCTGGCTTTTCACTTAAAATTGTTCTTTTTTTATTTTCGTAAATATGTGTCTGGTTACCCTGGCACAACCGGAAACAACGCACAAATAACAAGGACGAGGAAGGTGTAGCCGAGACAAACGCTGGAAATACACTGAATATTTAATAAAAGAAAACAAAAACATCGAACTAACAGTCTATAGGGTGTCCCAAGTCACCAGGCTCGATCTAAAATACACCGTAAATATCGACACCTGCAGGTAGGAATCTAACCTTTTCGTCAAAGGTGTAGTTCACAAGTCGGTTTTTCTTGTGAAATTACAAAGCTTAACTCCTTTTCTGTAAACCATAGGGCCAAAACACCTAGCCAGGGTGAACGTCGGGCGGCGACGCAGACGACCAAATAATAGTAGAGGGCGTTAGGAGCAGCGTCTGAAGGATTAGTCGTCCAGCTAAAGAAAGCTTACGACACGCAGACGAAATGCCGCTGGCAGCAAAAGCGCCGTCGTCATGAAAACGTGTTTTTTTTTCCCTTCAAGTTTCGCTTGCACTGTCTGCATTTATTATGTAACCAAATGTATATTACAAAAATATTCATCTGAATAAACCACGATGGTCGCGAGAAGTCTTGATAAGGAGGTAGAGTCGTCTATCAATACAAGCGCCATACCCGCCCAGCAACTCGACTTGGTCGTCTGCGTCGCCACGCGCCGTTGACGGTGGCAAGTTTCTTGGCCTTATTTTTTTACAGAAAGAGAGCTACGCTTTGAAAATTTACAAAAAAAAACGACTTGTCAAATACACTTTTGATGAAAAGTTTAGATTGCTACGTGAAGGCCTCGATTTTTACGGTCCATTTTAGGCCGAGCCCGGTGAATTTGTACACCCTATATATTTCCGCGAATGACGACGTGACAGAAAAAGAAATAACGGAAGAAACTGAAACGTTTATTGAGGTGAACTTGTGGCCAATGTAAAAAAAAGGAAGGAGAAGATAGCAACGGAGCGTCGCGGGCGTCAATTCGGCGCGACAGCAGAGACAAAAGCTGGGGCTGATTGACTGCGGCTCGCCTTGCAGAACCCCTTTATGTACACGCGTCGGCTTCTTGAACAATGGGCGTAGAAGGACCGGCGAATTGAACGCTCGGACCTCGAACAAGCAAGAGGGCTTTAAAATTTACCAGAACCTTAAACTGATAGAATAAATAAAATACGCGAAACTCCCAGGAATTGAACCCTGGGCCTCCGCGCGAAAGTCAAGCGCGGTAACCACTTGGCCACGCACTTTTTTTTTTTTATTGCCGGCTTAGACATTAACAAAATGTTACAATAATGATAAAACACTCACATCAGTCATTCTGCAACTAACGCGACATGGTTAAAAGTACTTCAGTTGGATAACACCTTCGAGTACAAATACCCAATCAGGAACCTCAGGATGAGCCTTCCACACTTCTACCATCCGTCGAACAGATTCGCCAAAGTACTCATGAACCGGACGGACATCCATATCGGCATGACGGACAGCCATGCGAGATTTCCATATGCTATGTAGGCCCAGGAGCATGGCGAGATCATACGGTACACCGTTTTCATTATCTATGGCTAAGTACCTAATACCATGGGGATCCAGAGGTAGACCTTTTTTCAGTGCTCGTTGCACCACATCCCAAAAGAAAACCCCGTCCCAACATTCTAGGAATACGTGCCCAGCTGTCTCTGGTTTTTTACACAAAAACAATTTACACCCCAAGCTACAAACATACCCTTGTCTTCCATCCAAGTTTTAGCCGGCAAGACTCCCATGTGCAATCTTAAAAAAACCGTTTTAACAGACGGCGGTACTGACATTCTCTTAACGCGCTGAAGGACGTTCTGCCCTGGGCCCACAGAATATAGGGATCTGTACAGCGGGACGGGGAAGACAGCATCAACAAGGACTCTATATAATTGCTTCCGACCACTTGGCCACGCACGCACTCTCTCGCCGACGCGCGTGGCAATATCACTATCGCCTTGACAGGTGCCTACAAAAAGTCACCTAATTCTGATGTAAACAAACCGAATTTTGACTGACGCATGTTCCAACTACAAGATAATGTGATAATGCTTTAGATAGAAGAAGACGCAAGATACGTCAGTTAAACTTCGATTTGTTTACATAGAAAAAAGGGGACTTTTTAAAGACTCGATAGTGTTGTGGATTGTTAATATGATGTGTTTTCCTTTATTAAATATGGAGTTAAGGTCAAGGTCTTGTCCCTTCTGCACCTTCCTCATTTTTGTTAAGTGTGCGCTGTTTTGAGTTGTGTCATGAACGAACTCGCCCGCATTGCCACTTTATTTCACCTCTTGCATAGACCATACCTTTTACGTTTCATCTACAGCTGAAGCCAACAATGATGTTCAAATACTCTACTACACTCTAACAAATGCATGCCCGTCTACTTATCCGCAAAACACTCGAATGGGCAATGTCTGCGATCTGCGAAATCGGCTCAACTAATGATGAGGCGGAACATGCCTTTAGACCTAAAAATGAAGCCTGGGCTCTGGCATTACGCAATCCAAAGCGTCATGCGTGCATTGCGTAATGCCACAGCGCAAACTTCATTTTGAGCTCTAAAAGGATGTCCCGCCTCGTCATTCGCTGAGCTGATTTTGTAGATCGCGAAGAAAGGCTCTTTGAGCGTTTTCCGGGTAAGTAGACGGGCAGGCATTTCTTTTAATGTATAGTCAGTGACAGGTTCAGACGTCAGGGGAAGCTCCCTCCTCCCCTCCCTTTTCACTTTGGCAGAGCAAACGCTGGAAAGGAGGCAACCTCCTCTCCATTGTTAACTCTGCTAAAGTGGAAAGCGGTTAAAGGAGCTTCCCCCGAACTAAATTTGTCACCGACTTCTCACGAAGAGAAATATCCGCTTGCATGTCCACAACACTCGACACAGCAAACACCAACCAGGCGTAGCGTCTACATCGTGCTAATTTTTATTAAAGAAATATATTGTGTAATCGACAGGTGTGCAAGTAAATGAAACAGGGACTTGGTAGGTTCTAAATACATTTTTGAATCACATTACTTCAAATATTATAGCAATAGAACCTTCCAATCACTTTGTCAATTGCGAAATATATAAAAAAAAGAAAGTAACTGTTACAGAAATTTCACTTGCTCATCAGATCTCAGGCAAGATAAAAAAACTCGTGTATGGATATATGGTGGCTACTGTATGACTATTGCCATACAACATCCATTATAAAACTAGTAAAGCTCAAGATCACCCTCGATGGGCTCCAAAAATCAGTTGGATGTACCTGGTATGGACACCGCACTTCTCACCCTACAAGTACAGTGGAATTTACAGTGCCAAACACTTTTGTAACATAAATATGCTCGCACATCCGACATAGCATATTGTCAGGAATGACAAGGGATAAGGCGGCAAATAACTGAGCGAACGCAACGTTGAATGGAGTGAACTTGTGCCCAAAAATAAAAAGGAATCATGATAACAGCTAAGCGTCGCGGGCGTCCAAGTCGGCATAAGAGCAGAGTCAAACGCTGGGGCAAGGCTGACTCGACAAGGTCGCGGGCGGCGTCTTATCTAGAGTGCGTCACTATCTCGAAGATTCGTCGAAGAAGGTTCAAGCGTCGCGCGCTCGGGTCAAGAACGAACAAGCACTTTTTCCAACAGCAAAAACAGGAATAAATGATAGAAGTTATGTCCGGAGCAAAAATAAACCAGAACCTTTCAGAAGTCCTTGACCGAGAGTTCCGTTCTCGGCCCTTCGCGCTGCATTATCCCCCTCTTTAAAAGCGCATCGTCCCGATGCAGCACAAACCGGAAACACAAACGCACAACAAAAGGACAGCAGAGTCGCGAGCCACAGTTCACAAGTTTGACGAGAGTCCAAAGTTCTATCATTCGTGATACGGCTTGGGGCGCACTACAGAAACTACTTCGGGTCGCGGCTGGCGTCCTCTTGAATGTCGACTTCAGTCGGGAAGCACCTCGTAGTTTAAGTACCTGAGACGGCCAAGAACCTTGAATGGTCCAAAGTAGCGTTTGAGAAGCTTCTCGTTGAGCGCACATCGCCGAATTGGTGTCTAAACCCATATGCTCTCCCCGCGATAAAAGGGGGAGTTACGCCAGCGAAAATTGTAGCGGCCGGCGTAGACATGTTGCTGGTCTTCAATCCGTAGTCTGGCTAGCTGGCGGACCTCTTCTGCCCGTTGAGCAACCACCTGGGCGTCATCGCTCCCGTCGTCGACTGGCTCATGGGGTAACGTGGAGCCTAGCGCGGTCGTCACCGTCCAACCGTACACCAGCTGGAGGGGCGCCACTCCTCTGGTCTCTAGCACTGCCGTTTTTTAGGCAAACGGGACTTAGGGCAGCAATTTGTCCCTGGTCTTGTGCTGCACATCGACATACATAGAGACCATGTCGGTGATTGTTTCGTTGAGCCGCTTCGTCAACCCGTTGTTCTGCGGATGGTATGCAGTTGTTCGATGGTGGTCCGTGTGGCTTAGACAAAGGATCGCTTGGGTCAACTGTGCCATGAACAACTACCCACAGTATGTGATCAGGACTTCGGGGCGCCATGCTGGAGGACGATGGACTTGATGAAGAACTTGGCGACTTCGACAGGAGTCCCCAACGGAAGGGCTTTCGTCTTGGCGTAAGGAGTAAGATAATCTGTGGCGACGATTATCCAGCGGTTTGTCATCATCGACGGTGGAAAGGGACCCACCAAATCAATTCCCATTTGCTGGAAGGGCTTGGTTGGCGGGTAATTGGCTGAAAGAGACCTGCTGGCATTGACGGCGGTTTCTCGCGTCGCTGGCACCCATTGCACGATCGTGTGTAGAGATGGACCGACTTCAGGAACAGAGGTGTCCTGAAGTCGGGACGTCGTGGCAGGCTTGAAATGTCTCTTATCGAACGCTCGTAGGGACTACCAGAGGCCACAGCGAATTACTGGTTCCGAATTTTTTTTATAAAGTACACCTCGTTGAATAGCGAAGGTCGGCAGGGTTCGCAAAAAGACACAAGGAACGGTACTTCCTCGTCTTTCTAGATCAATCATGGCGCCCAGCTTAGGATCGTCTCCTTTAAGTCGTGCCGTGTCGCCGGTGTCCACGCAGTGTGGGATTCGACTGGAGTCCTAGACAAACAGTCAACGCCATTGCTTGTGGCCGGACTTACGCACAATGGTTACGTCGAATTCTTGCAGCCGAAGACTTCAGCCGGCGAGTTGTTCTTACCGATCCTTGAGGTTTGCGAGCCAGCAGAGGACGTGGTGGTCTGTGAGCACGCGGAACGGGATGCCGTAGAACTACGGATGCAACTTGGCTATCGCCCAGACGGTAGCAAGACATTCTTTGTCGGTCGTTGAATCATTTTGTTCTGCCTTAGACAGCGCCGGGCTTGCGTAAGCGATTACTCTCAATGCCCCTTCTTGTCGCTGAACGAGTACCGCACCGCCACCAGTATTGTTGGCGTCAGTGTGGATTTCTCTCTCTGCCAACTGACCAAACTGCCCGAGGATAGGACGCGACTGGAGTCTTCGCTTGAGTTGGTTGAACGCTTGTGCTTGCTCCTCTCCCCACTGGAACTGCACGTCGTCTTTCATCAGATGCGTCAGCGGTGCAGAAATATGTGCAAAATCACGAACGAAACGTCTGTAGTAGGCGCACAGCCCAAGGAATCCTCGAATTGCTTTGTTTTCTGATGGCTTCGAGAATTTGGCGACAGCGGTCGTCTTTGCAGAATCAGGGATTACACCCTGAACACCCACGCCGTGGCCCAAGAATTTCAGTTCACCATAGGCGAAACCACACTTTGAAGGCTTGAGTGTCAGCCCAGCAGCCTTGAAAGCTCGTAGCACGGCTCGCAGTCGTCTCAGGTGCTCGTCGATTTCGCTTGCGAACACCACAACGTCGTTGAGATAGACGAGACAGCTTTGCCATTTCAAGCCGCAAAGGAAGGGGTCCATGACGCGCTGGAAGGTTGCCGGCGCTGTGCACAGCCCGAGCGGCATTACTATAAATTCATACAGTCCAACCGGAGTGACGAAGGCCGTCTTCTCACAATCTCGTTCGTCGACGTCAATCTGCCACTACTCGCTCTTCAATTTGCGGTTAATACTGCACGCAGAGCCTCAGGGTTCCGCCTTTCTTCTTCACCAGGGCTACTGGGGAAGTCAACTGACTGTTTGTGGGCTGGACAAAGTTGTCATCAAGTATTTCCTGAACTTTCTTCTGGATGGCTTCCTTTTCTTTCACGGAGACTCGGTACGGTTGCTGATGCACTGGCAGTGCGTCATTCTCAGTAATTATTCGATGTTTCGCAACCGTCGTTTGGCGCGCCTTAGACGACGTGGAGAAGCACTCACTGAACTTGGCGAGGTCACTGAGTCGCCGTCGTTGCGGAATTGGGAGGGACGGGTCGATGTCCAGCTCTTGCGGCGTGTTTCTTTTGTGCCGCGTCGGAGAGGCGTCTTCTGAGATCGCGGCGATCGCGGCCGGGTCCTCACTTTCCTCGACGTAGCCCACAGCTGTACCCTT